TTTCGCAAAAAGGAATTTTTACGCCATTAGAGATGCATTGCCACCATAATGCCCCATTATCTTATTGATAGCACTGTTTTTTTTTTCTCCAAAGCGTATTACACGACAATGTGAGCGAGTCTGGCAGTATGGGAAACCTAGCCTGTTTAGCGCAATCCATCATAGAAAGCGTCGCCGCAGCGCTGTGTCCGCTTTCAATCATAGTTGTAAATTAGCAGTACCGCTGCACTCACTAAAGGGTTAGCGAAACAAATCGCATCTGAGTTCAGTCGTCCGAGAATAATAGGATTCGCAACAAAAACATTCCTGCAGGTTCCCTCATTCCGAACTCTTTTCGATAGACTTTCTTGCAAAGTTTCGGAGGACAACCCGTCCCTGCGACTGAATTTTATCGCTGTACTTTGTCGTGACAAAGATGTGTTTGAAAATGAGTCGATTCCCGCGTGGGATGCACGATATTCAGAGAACCAGCAGCGCGTGGAGTGCAGACCATACACCACAAATGGCGACGGCCCTCAAGTGAATTTGTGGTGGGTTCGCAGTAAAAGTCGATAGTTGTTAAGTGCTAGCTGTAATTTTTGAAACAAAATATAAGTACAATCTGCTAATCGCTTCACCGACGCAGAAAACAATGACATCTTGTGAAGGCCGTCGTCATTTGTGTTGTGTGGTCTGCACTCGACGCACTTCTGGTTATCGGAAGCAGAATAAACCTTGTAGACAGGTGCATATTCAAGTGTTTCGAGATTTTGAATGAGACTCGAGCGCAAAGCACCCAACAAAGTCTTGAATAGCCCCAGTTATTTTGATTACGTTACACCTTCTCTATCGAACTACTCGGGAGATGACCACTCGCGATTTAAGATAGTAGGGGAGCTGAAGGAAGTGGGCGCTTTATTGAATTGGTTCCAGTCAATACGATAGGCTTAAAAAACGATTTCTCTCACATTTCCGTCTTCCATTGAGAGCTATTAAGATCCCAACCCTTCGGGGAAAGAGGCCGTTATTTACCTTGATGTGTTTCTTGAGGTAAAGGTTTTTTGGTGGAATGTTTATTTGACGGTCCTAGGAGGCAGAATTTGATCCACGTTCGGGCCTTCGGAGGAGGATGAAACCTCTTTTTTAGCTGCTACATAGAGTTTCCCCGTAAAAATTTCCACGGCGCAAGAAACACCTCAAAACTTCAGTGCCGAGGTTCTCCGAAGAGAGAATTGGACTTTACTGAAGCCATTATTGTTTTCCGTTTTCGTGAAGTATTAGGTTACGGGTGCATCTCAAGGTAACGCTCTGTTGAGGTGTGAGAGAAAAACAGCTGCAGAATTAACCTGCTCTACTGGTGGCCACTCCAGGTCGAATAGAACACCTTTACCCCGTCATCCCTTGGAGAGAAAATGTGCTGATCGAAACACATTCCATGACAGAATGCATGGGCAATAAGATTTCAACTAACGCACCCAGATTGAACTTGTGGAATCACAGCAATCGATAATGGATTTGATGCCGAGTTGACTAAAAATGAATAAAGAAGCAAAGAAAACCGTCTATCAAGCCCTAAACAAGGATTCCCCTTGAAAGAGGAAGGGGCGGGGCCGGACGAGTTGTACGAACCTGCCTGCTCCACGGCTCAACTAACCCGCGCGTATTTGAATTAGCCGCTACGCCGTAATCCACGTTGCGTGTCATGGGGTGTGCGCGACGTAACTCGTCCAAATGCTAAGATTAGTCGCCAAATGCTGACTTTGTAAGACCCTAGCGCCATTGTCGCGCACTTTCGAGCCGCGACAACGGCACATCTGTGATACTCGTGAGCTACTCTATCCCACCACTGAATAGATTCCTTCGACACGACTTCTGTGGGGTGTTGCTTTTAGTGTGAGAATGCACTTGCTGAAGGTGCCACGAGTGAAAGACAAAAAGTCATGAAAGCACTTAGAAATTTGGCTATTTTCGCTTCTGATTAGTACAGGCGAACAGACGTCGAGTCTGGGACGAGGGAGCAGGCATTGATGAGACAAGAGAGGGAAGAAAAGAGCGAGACTTCATTGTGAACTTCGATCTAGGACAGATCCTGACTTAATGGACCTTCTGAGGCTGTTGTAGTTGCGCTGTGCCATTATCACCTACTTTCGTGTCGCGGAATTGGCAAAACCTCGACCGCTTTTTTTGGATGTCCACCGCTGTGAATCATGCCCATTTACGTGATTGTTACGGTATTTGCTATGGAGACCTGGCCAATAGCGGTTCTCGGCTGGATCCCGGTCGGGACGACTTCAGCGTAAAAGCAGTCTTTACAGTATGAAATAGGATGGTAGATCCATAGATTTTAGTCCTTCACTATGAAGGGACGTCAAACGAACACCTGGACGACCATCCCCTCGGGACGTCAAACGAACACCTGGACGACCGCCGGCCCGATGGTCAGACTTCTTCACGAAAGCTCTGAACGAAAGGAATGAAGGACTTCGTGTCCCTCGAGCAAGGAGGATCCACTGGACCACTCTAGCACGCGACAGGGACGAATGGAGACGTTGCTGGCGCCCGCTCGAGCAAATCGACGATCAACGGGACGACAGGTGATACAGGTGACTATGAAGGGTACGGAGGACTATGTTTTGAAAGTCTCTTTTTCATGGCTTATTGACGTAGCTCCAGATTCAACTGTGTCACAAATCAGCATCATCCCTTGATCGAGTTTCATTGGGCCTTGCAGACTGACAAAGAAGAATCACAAGTCGTCACTTCGTATAACTTCGTATAATTACTTCCCTAGTTGCGCTCTTCAAATCTACTTTTCATTTCTGCTTAAGGATTGCCTGAGCAGAGTTGTGAAGCAGTACACCGCAACGGTAGTGCGGTGTGTACTGCTCACTAGGCAGGAAGTTGCAGGATCGATCCCTTGCTAAGTTGGACTATTTTGCCTTTCTAATATTCGTGATAACGCACCTCAGCGGGAGAGCAAGTGATTTTCGCGGAAATCGCGAGGGTCAGGTGGGGCACCAATTGACTGGACGTGGGCCGAAAAGTGACATTCTCGCCTGTTGTCGGAAGGAATGCTGACAGCACCCTCTTGCGACAACAACCACTCTTTTCATAAGAAAATTGGTTTTCACGCGCGGTGAGCAACTCTCGAATAAAAGCCGGCCAGCAGCCCTTGTTTAACATGTGTGTATCCATATGATTTCATTTCAATCATCAAAAATGGTTTTCATTTGAATTCGAATTCTTTTAATCCTTTATATAATTATTTATTATGATCGTTTTGAAATTCTCGGCTTTGAATGAAAGTTTTTGCTGACTTTTGCAATGCCACGCTAAGAAAAAACAAAGCTGTGGCTTCTAATGGTGATTCGAGGAGGATTCTAAACAGTCCTCTTGCAGAGTTGGACGGATTACAAGCTTCGCTGGAATCCCGACGACTACGGTGGAGTTGACGTTCTCTACGTGCCTTCGGACACGATCTGGTTACCAGATATCGTCCTTTACAACAAGTTTGTCCATTATTTCTCCATTGTTTTTCCTATTCTCATGATGATACCATACTGTATTCACTTGGTCTCACTGAACCCAATTCGGAGCGATTCGTCCAAACGGCAGCGTTTTCCCTCCGCTGTTGTCGGCGCAATGTGGCTCGGGGGGGGGGAGGGTCGTCGCGGCCTGCGGCATTGGTGCGCGTACTTCAGTTGTCTCGGGAGCGGCGAAATCGTGGGAGTGTCAAGGCAGGATTCGGGAGAGGGGAGGGCGAATCTCATTATGGAGAGCTGGACTTTCAAAATTCACACTTATTCGTTGAGGATTTGTGACGTGGACATACCCCTCCTCCTCGCGCTGCGGCTGGTGGCTGGCCTCCCCGAGCCACATTGTGCCCTGTTGGACCGTTTAGCTCGGGTACTAGACGGGAGGCCCCTTGCGCGGGAAGAAGGCGAAGTCAACGGACGAGTCGCAGCGCGTACAGTAGTGATCTTACGTCAAGTTAAGTAGAATACTCCTACATTGCATGCACGCCACTGCGACTCGTCTGCTTGACTCTACCTTCTTGCCGCGCGACGGCCTTCCTTGCCGGGCAACCTGTTTGGCTAAGCTTGCAACGAGGACAAGCACCTTGGCAACATTACAGAGTTGGAACCTATAGAAGGCAGCTCAGTAAGCAGAACGTCAGCTTCGTTCATGTTTGTAATCCAATATAAATTTTAGTGCTTAGATACTAGACGACCCGTCCATCAGGCACTGGCGGTTGGCCGTGCGCGGTTCCCAACCAGGGTCGGTCCTACGTTGCTACAAGTAGCAACGGGGGGGGTCGTACTTTGATGAGTTTTTAGAGGGGGGGGTCGTACATTTTGATGAGTTTGTAGAGGGGGGGTCGTACATTTTTGACGAGTTTGTAGAGGGGGGTCGTATATTTTTATGAGGTTGCAGAGGGGGGGGGTCGTACCAAATCCACCTTTGGGGAGGGGGGTCGTAAAAATTTTTCGAAAAGTAGCAACGATAGGACCGACCCTGGGTCAACTTCTTTTCCATTGATCTCGATCTTGGGCTATGGTTGTCCAGTGTGTGGTCACCCTAAAGGACTCTGGATCATAGATGTTGTTTCGATGAGCTAGGGAATCCGCCCATCGTAAAGGAGGACGGCCTTGCGGCCGTTTCTTCTCGCGCGGGTACCATCGCACAGTAGCCGAACTCCATCGTCCGTCATCTCTTCTCATCAGTGTAGTTAAAATTTTAGTGCCCGACGGAAACTATCAAGTCACCATCATGACCAAGGCCAAACTGTCCTATAATGGTACCGTCGAATGGGCTCCGCCGGCAATTTACAAGAGGTTTGTAAATTCCATTCCGAAGATTTCTTTATTTGAAATGTTTTGTTTTTTTTTAGTATGTGCCAAATAGACGTCGAGTTTTTTCCATTCGATCGACAGCAATGTGAAATGAAATTTGGTTGGTGAAACAGCTTTTCTTTTCTTTCATTTGCCACCTGTGCTCTCTATTGCTCAAGCAAAATGCATGAATTCGGGGCTCATATCGTTCTGCCTATCAAAGCAGTGATCACCTTTCTTCAATAGTCTGATAGGTTGCTTTCAAGACCAACAAATATGACTTTGTGAACTGGTTCTCCCAACTTTGACGTATGCCGTTCAAAAATTCCTTCATATTTTCGGAATTCGTTCAGAGCTGCCGAAGATGGAACTTATGAATTTTCATGAGCTTTCAGTGGGGTTGCACGAAACAACAAAAACTGTGTGGGCGGTATCCCCAAGTTGAGACGGTGTTGGAACTAGTGGATTTTACGCTTCTGCTCAAGGGGATTTGCGTTATTCAGAGGTCGAAAAAATTTGTCCTCGGCCAAAGGCTGTTTCTGGCTGGGCTCAAATGGCTTTCAAAGCAATCGTGAAGACTGTCTAAATTTGTCCCGCAGAAATTACCGTTCGTGAAAAAACAAACAATTTCGTGTTCCTAGGATCCATGCTCTTTTTGGCCGCCATTTTTGCCTAGCAGTGTTCCCCAGTACAGTTCGATCTTTCAAACTCGAACCTACTACCACCGTAATGGCCTCTACAATTTTATCGTCTTTCGGCATAGCACGCCTGGAGCGCTTATATTCAACACAAGATTTCCGGGAGGGCTAGATTCATTCTAAAGTAAGCGATTTGACCCATATTGAACCTTTTATATTGAACAACCTTCAAAACATCGATATGGAGAGGGATGACGTAAAGGCTTAGTTGTCGAAGATTATTTGGGTTGAATATGACTCCGCAATCGAACACCTTTGATTTTTCTTCGGTTTCCAACACAGGTATCAATAGGGTCTCTGTTAGGGCTTTTTCGCAACGCCGTAACCCACACCGTCACTCAGAGGAGCACAAAAAACCGATGTTACTGGAGCAAACGTTCTCTTTGCCAGCTACGAGTTCTTCTCATAAAGGAATAGAGCTAATATTTTATAACGTTTGCCGAATCTGAGGGCAGGTCCAAATCCTAGCCATTAAAATTATTGTTGATTCAAAAATTGCAGGGTCTTGGACATACGGTGGTCTCGAAGTAGACTTAATTCACAAAGATGAACATCTTCAAGAAGAGTCCATCGAGATTGTCGAAGGCGTTGATGGACCTATTCAAGAATCTGTTTGGATAGTTGATGAAGGTAAGTTGCAGTGTTTTTTTTTTTCTTGATCAGAACTTTATTTGTTCAGCATCATATTACTTGTTAAGTTAATTACCTGAAAATTCAAACTCATGAATGAACGAGGTCATTTCGGAGTTCGTCGTGGCTACGTTTTTATAATAATCCTGTGTTATTGTTCACTGAAAATGAAAACCAAAGCTGAGAAGGGAGCAGAAACACTCAAATCTCGCTTTCGAGTTCTTGGGTTGTGCCGAGGGCGGCTCATTACTTCAAACTTGTGGCAACTCGAGACCTTTTCCCTTTTTCCGAATATTTTCTGTGAATTTTTGGTGTTCTTCGTTGAGCTGTTCGTGGAGATTCGATTGTTCGAATTGTTTATTCCGAAAGGCTTGTATTTTTAATTTCTGGTGGAATTATAATAATTGTATAGATGTGTGGTGGCAAGTGGCGCTGCTTACTACGCGCACAGCCCGGGATCAAATCCTATCGTGCGTCTTCCAGGGTAACCAAGCCTTCCGGTCCTCCGGGCTCGCTTGATTGGTACCAGATTTATTTGAGGGATGTTTCTCATCGACTGGACCTACAAGTCATTGTATAGGCCAAATCTGATTCAACTTGCCGCTATGATTCTTGATGGCTAAGTAGAAGCATGGCGCATCTAACATCGATCCATTATCAGAATTGATCTGAAAGAACATAGCTTTCACAAGAATATCGATTTACTGCTGTCCTTCAAAACTTCTCATAAGACAAGCCCTTCCTTTTTTAGGCCTTGTGAACTTTTGCCAGATACACCCTTCGGTAGTTCTACCTTCTTTCCTGCACTGAGGCCATAATAAGGGCCCGAGATCTTCCAGAGTTTTTCGAAAGCGTTTTAAGACGTCATCATTAAGATTTTTTGGAGCGTTAACACCGTAAACTACCTCGTTACCAGCAGTTGATGGCTGCCCTGATGACATGTGTTCGAAGTGCAATAAAGCTATATTTGCAGCTGAAAAACGGGAATGGGTCTGGCTGTGCTGCTAAAAAACCCGCGATAAAACATAAATGTTCGCTGATACCTTTTTTTCAAAAACTCGATCTTCTGCTTTACAGCGAAGTATTCGGTCGTTTATGAGCTGTTTGATTCTGTTTTATCATCACCGTCGCCATACACACTTCTGATCGAAAGGATTATTCTGCACGGCTAAGATCACCAGTTGTCGAGGCTGAGCTAGCAACTATTTCGTTCTGAATAGATTCGCTTGAGCAGGAAGTTACGAATCCATCTGACGGAGGTTCTCGAACCGCTGGCAACGACAGTAGTCAACCTTCCAGCAAGACAATGCTTGCCATGCTAGAAAGTCGATTCCGATGTCTATCAGCAAATCTCGACTTCGATCAGAGTCCCGCTCGCACAGGGTGGGCAAAACGCATGATAAGCGCGAGTCGGTCCAGTCAAACCAAATTCTTCACTTATCTCGCCTACTTCATCTTTTCTGTACGTAAAGTGGTAAGGTTCCACTGGTCTTCCTTTTTCTGAAGCTAAATGTTATACACTCCTCAAATCTACATACATATCATCGAATCGTGGTATGCCAATTGAATCAACCAGGAGTTGCGGTACGCTGAATCCAGCACCCATTCAAGGTAACAATGAAACTCGTATGGATAAGTACTGGAACGCCTTAACAGGAAATGCTTTCTTAGTCCCATGTGGGACCATTGAATTGAAGACTTGGGCATTTGAATGAAGACTGGGATGAGACTGGGACTCAATGTACGGGGGTAATTTGGATGGAGAGGGCGGGCCCTATTCTAGCGCATCGACGTTTTTACAAATGGCCTGGTCACGAATATTACTTTCGTTTTGGAGACAGAGGCGATCTGGCGCTAGTTTGGTGCCTCAATTCACTTTGCTGCATTTTTTGCCAACTTTGACCGCTCAACTTGCCTAGAAAGGTCGCGTAGCAGTTTTGGTCTACATATCTGTGAATAGTATTCAGTACTCTACCGATTTGCCTGGGTCTCCATCCAAAGTTCCATGGGAACTTAGAAGCATTTTCTTGTAAAAGTGTCAAGCCCTCATGGTCTGATGGGACAGGCGCGGACTGCCACAACAACTGACAAATGCCGAAACTTCTTACCGTCTTTGGGATTTGGCACCACAAAACGAATAAATTTATATGTAGAATGCTCACTCAGGACCCTCTAGAGAACCAAGGTCTGAAGCGACCGCGCAGAGAAGGCGGCGTGCTATGCTCCAGTATCGATAGTGCCCCGCTCTCAACCCAGGAGGTCATAAGTCCTTACCTGTTGGAGTGCAAATTTGGGGTAATACGTAACACTCACTTAGAGCCAACTTTGACTGCTCACAACTTCCTTGGCAGGTTCATTTTGCAGTTTTAGTTTCCATATTTGTAATCAGCGTTTGAAGCTCTATCGATATATCTGGGTCTCATTCAAAGTTCCATGGGAAGTTGAATGCCTTCCCTGGTTAGTCGTGAAGCAAAAACTCTGCAAGGGGGGGGGGGGTGCTCGTTGTAGTCATTGGAGACATAGCATTTAAGAATTTTCTACCGAATTTGGCTGGATTTTTGTAAGGTGAACATGGAAGGAAATGCTATTCAAAATCCGAAAATTTCCTCGTTTTTAGAGGAAGGCGCAGCAAAAAACCTGCTGCAATCATTCTGCTGGGTCTCATCTGTGTGCCATCTTGCATGCCTTCCTTCTTCATTTGAAAGCTTGTATGAACGCAACAGGCGACGGATTCCAATCCTGACCTTGTTTTGATTTGTGACACAAGTGACCAACATTTTTTTGAAATTTGTTTGTTTCGTTAGCCTGTTAATCATTTTCAATAAGACAATGTCTCTTTTTTACTATAGTTGCGGCCCACCCTCTAGACTTTTCACGAAACCGGTGGAGGAGCTTCGACATGTAATTGCTCGAAGGGTTTACGGCAGTGTAGGCATTTTGCTACAAAACGCAGGTTAGGAATTGCAGTTGTGAAAGTATCGGGCTTCTTTTCAATTTTTGAAAACGTGCAACCACCACTGTCACAAAAATCGTCCTTGAGAACTGATGTTTGCGATTCGTAGGGCCCTTATTTGCTTTTCATCTGCTTTTTGCGCTTCCATTTCTCGCGAGGACGGTGAGGTAGGGTAGGGACGGGCATTCAGGAACGCGAAGGTGAATAACACTCGAGTTAATCCAAAGAGGGAGGAGACGCCAGGGATTAAAGCAACAGTCCAGGCAGGGTTTCAACTACTTGGTCATTAGGCGGTCAAAACATGCCCCAGCCCAACTAAAGTTTATAGGAAATGTCTTTAAGTTTCAAAACCTACCTCTAAAATGCGCTGGAAGGGGTCGAAGTCCTCTTGGAGGGGGCGGATCACCCATAAAGAGGCGGATCGCCCAACATACGCTGTGCAGAGTCCGCGCTTGACTAGCGGTCGTTGCGGGACCGCCGCGCTGTATGAGGTCGATTCCATAAGAACGCAATTGAAGCGCTTCAATTTCGATTGCTGGCAAATAGTTATGTATTTGCAAGCATGCAGCTATTTGCCAGCAGTTGCAATTGGAGCGCATGTACTACGGGCAGGTTCGGACAACTCGTCCAACACACGTCTCCCTAAACGGCAGGGGGAGTCCCTGTCTAAGCCCCTGCCCGACGTTTTTTTCTACTTTTTCTTTCTCCATTGACCAACTTCTCACCTGCAACGTCATTATAGGTGGTCCTTACCCGCGAATTCGTTCCTGGATTGTTGCTTTAATGCTCATATCCTTCTCAAAGCTCGTTCCCTCCTAGATGGCTTGGTCCCAAGTGCTGTAAGAGGCTCACTCACTTGAATGTCCCCCTCCCCCAAAGATGTAAGCGCCGCTTTTGCTAACAAGGTTTCATTTTTATCACTTTGCTTTCCGTTCTTTCACTCCAGAAACGTGGTCACTTCTTGAAACCTTCTACTACTGTTTGTGGAAAAACCGCGAGAAAAACCTTTTATTTTTCTTCTCCGATTTTAACTTATTTATTGATTTTTTGCTATTCTTTCAACTTTTCAGACTAAAAATTGTGAAAATATTCGGAAGATATTTTTGAGGACAATTCTCGATTTTAATGACATTAAAGAAGGGATTTTTATGAAAGCTCTGATTTAGGCATCGACCTGAGTGATTATTATCCCAGTGTCGAGTGGGATATACTCAAAGTGCCTGGAAAACGACACTCTAAACGGTAAGTCTCGCTACATTTTTCAAATAGAACTGAAATTTTATGAGAATTGAAGAAAGTTTTAAATTTGCATTACCCAATGATTTTCGATTTTGCAATTATTATTACGAAAAGTAGACATGATTTTGCAATTATTTTTTTGTGGTAATAAGGAGAGTATAGTTTCTGTTTGCACATGCCTTTACCAAAGGGGGTCTTTCAGGGCAAGCCGCGCTTTTCCAGAACGGTTTCTGCATATTGTAGGGACGCATGTAGGGAACGCAAAACCATGTTTCATTTTCGCTGAACGGTTATTTAGCAGTACCAAAAAGAAAGCATAAGGTACTGTTAAGGGTTCGATCCCCCGTGGCGACTAAATTTTGCATTTGGGTTGGCGCCTACGGTTTGGTGCCAAATCGCGCTAAATATCAAAATCAGATGTCAAATTCATCGTCAGGACCATTTTGAAGCCAACAAGTGGCCGCCAACCTTGATTGCAAAATTTAGTCGCCGCGGGGGATTGAACCATCAAGAGTATTATTCACCACTTTTTTGGTACTACTAAAACCGTTCAGCGAAAACGAAACATGGTTTTGTGGTCCATACATGCGTCCCTACAACATGCAACTAAACCGTTTCCAAAAAGCGCACCTTGCCCTGAAGGACCTACCTTGTTAGCAATACCTTGACGGACTGAGTATACCTAACCAAAAACCGAACTGCCTAAAACTGCTGTTCGAGCCGATTGAAGAAAACAGGGAAAAAAGGGTGGTTCTAACGCTCGGCTTTTTACAAAGGCTCCGAAGAAGGCGAGCGCGCCGAAACGTTAGCCGGATAAATCGTATATCAATCTCGGAAGCTTGAACAAAGCAATTACAACTGATGAGAAACCTTTCCAAGGCATTCAAAACAACGCAATTCGTCCGTTCAAGCAGGCTCCGTCCACAAAGAAATGACGTCAACACTGAAAACGAAGTTCAGCCTATTAGCTGATCATCCTTTGAAATCTCCTCGCCCTGAAATGTTACTGTAAATAAATCGAGCCGGGATAAGCCATAGAAATTCTAAGCCTTATTTATGAACTGCAAAATGTAGCAATCTCACTGAAATGCTTTCATTGGGATTTTCTAATCTGCTTTTTACCGACACTTATAACTCATTACTTTCATTATTTTTATCAGTAAACGTAGCTACCAATTAATTCCGTATAATATCAGAGACGTTGAAGACTTTTAACAAAGTTTCTGCTCCAATGCTCTTCACATAGGAGGTTATGACTGTGAACCTTTGCTCCACGTGGAAACTCCGCACAGGTTATTCAAATGTGGTGAGCAAATTTTGGGCGCTATCGTGAGATGGGGGCATCCCACAGGCTAAGCCAAAGAGGAGGCAGAAACATTGAAACAAACGAGAATTGCTAACGTATCGAGAAGTTCTTCTTCTTCCATTTAAGGCTTAGTCCCGTTTTAGCAAATTGAGATGTTGTACGCGATTCAAGCGGGCGCTATCGCAATGTACGGGGTGTTCGGCCGGCAACGCTTCCTGGAAACTGCGATAAAACATTGTGACGGGAATAATTATTGGGCTGGGATGATAAACTCCGGGGTGCACGAGCAAACCTTCATTTTCATTTGAGTTCCTGCCCCTCTTACAATAGGCTCAGTCCTAGAGCATGCCCCTTACCTTGCGATAGCGCCGAAATTTGCCTCTCAGAAGTTATCCTGGTTAGGGAACACAATGCTGCCTTTCTCATCCAAGAATCCGCCCATTTCCAACATAGATCTTTTCGAGCACTTTTTCGTAGTTGGCCCGGAATAATATTAATATCATATGCGGGGGAGCATCGATTGGTCGGTGTTCGGGGCCGAAGGACTGGCGGCAAATTCCCCGGAGTGCGACGCCGAAATGATTTTTCACGACTGCGCAATGAATTCATTTTTCCGTCAAACGCCGCCAGCTTCGAATCGCCTTTTAAACAAGCTGACGAGTCAACGCGAACACGCTGTCAGAACGAATAGCTGACGAGTCGGCAAGAACGAGGGAACACTTATCGGGATTTCGGGTCCGTTTTTGCTGCATTCTTCCAGAATAGCATTCCAAATCAAGCAAAGCACGACATTACTCTTCTTGTACCTGAACCGTTAGTGAATTCCTTTTTTGGAATCTAGCCAAAAATATCAAGAGCATACAGCTCCTATTTTAAAACATTGATGACAGCCTATTATTTGTGCTCCGCGACATTTTTTTCAAACAACTTCATTACTGGTAATGGGTATATTATCCTCTGAATCTAATAATATACACAGCCGACATTCTAACGTAAAAACGATGTCCGTTCGCGTGAAAATCTGACGCGCGTGCGCGTCATGCTGCCGTCAGTGTGTTAAAGGCTAACCCCGGTATTAGCCCCAGTAGCAGAGATCGTCGCGAGTGAACGTGCTGGGTCCGCACCTACAGGGGTCGGGCCAGCTTTCATGAACAAAATTCGTGGTTAGGGCGCTAGTCGTTACGAATCTGCAACCATCGCAACGCTCCCCACCCACCGCGATTGGTGTGGAGATCAGCGTGCTCTCTCGCGTATTTTGCCTTCTCTGGCCCTGTTTCTACGTCGTACCACATTCGGCCACACGAAGTTGAAGCCTTAGGTTTATATTCTCTGATTTCTCTTGCCTCTTACCCAAGATCAGTTCAGAACTTTGGAGCTTCACTGACAAGGAAGGTAAGTTTTCCAGGGTAAGGAGACTTCTGAGGTCCTAAAGACGATCTAAAAATTCGCTTAGAGTGGGTAATTT